GCGATCATTTTCGCCTCGCATCCCCCCCCCACCACCACCACTATCATCAAAGACAAAGATCACCCGTATATCCTCAACAGACTTTCGTGGCAAGTGCTGTTGGCGAGCACCTATGACGGCGGGCACGCCAGGACGAGCTGGTGGGTCGCCAGCACGACGCCCGGCCGCCTTTGTCTCCCGAGTGGCGATGCTTTACACACCGCACGAGGCACTCATTTGAGGCCGAGTCGACCCAGGGGAGGCCTAGGACCGGTTCAAAACGACTATCACCGTCACCACCACACCCGACACTCACTTCACTCCCTCCATCCCCTCGGCACCTCTACACATCTCTGACCATCCTCAATCACCCCGTACCCCGCTCCCTTCTCCATGATACACCCCCCCACGTGTCTCTGGAGTCCTCTGCCCGCAACACTTGCATTGTAACCCCCATATCTGTGCATTTCCCGTTGTCGGTTGGGAAGGGTGCTCTGTTCTAACGCTACGGGGGTTGGGCCTGTTTCAGGTGAACCTTGTGCCAAAAAAACACGCGGACGCTGAATGAACTGACACAAATATACACGGCGACATTGAAGGCGAACAACAACAGCAACAACCGGCTACATACGAACGCTTTACAGTTGGTAGGGGCAATGTGTAGTGTATCGTGATAGAGCAGTTGTGGACGTGGACCTAAAGGGTTGCTGTGGATGTGTGTGTTCGTATGGCTGTGTGTGTGTGTTCGTATGGCTGTGTGTGTGTGTTCGTATGGCTGTGTGTGTGTGGCTGTGTATATGTGTTCGTGTGACTGTGTGTGTGTTCGTGCAGCTGTGTGTGTGTTCGTATGGCTGTATGTGTGTGTTGGTGTGGCTGTGTGTATGTGTTCGTGTGACTGTGTGTGTGTTCGTGCAGCTGTAGCTGTGTGTGTGTTCGTGTGGCTGTGTGTGTGTGTTCGTAAGGCTGTGTGTGTGTGTTGGTGTGGCTGTATGTGTTCGTGTGACTGTGTGTGTGTGTTCGTGCAGCTGTGTGTGTGTTCGTGCGGCTGTGTGTGTGTGTTCGTATGGCTGTGTGTGTGTGTTGGTGTGGCTGTGTGTATGTGTTCGTGTGACTGTGTGTTTGTTCGTGTAGCTGTGTGTGTGTTCGTGTGGCTGTGTGTGTGTGCTCGTGTGGCTGTGTGTGTTCGTGTGGCTGTGTGTGTTCGTGTGGCTGTGTGTGTGTGTTGGTGTGGCTGTGTGTATGTGTTCGTGTGGCTGTGTGTGTGTTCATGTGGCTGTGTGTGTTCGTGTGGCTGTGTGTGTTCGTGTGGGTGTGTTCGTGTGGCTGTGTGTGTGTTCATGTGGCTGTGTGTGTGTTCGTGTGGCTGTGTGTATGTTCATCTGGCTGTGTGTGTTCGTGTGGCTGTGTGTTCGTGTGGCTGTGTGTGCTCATGTGGCTGTGTGTGTGTTCGTGTGGCTGTGTGTGTGTTCGTGTGGCTGTGTGTGTTCGTGTGGCTGTGTGTATGTTCATCTGGCTGTGTGTGTTGGTGTGGCTGTGTGGCTGTGTTCGTGTGGCTGTGTGCGCGTGGGGGGGGGGGGGGGTGCAGCAGTTATCGCGCTGCGCTACGGTGCCCGGCCATCTGAGTTCAATTCCTGGCCTCGGCAAAACATCGCTCTACCGGTCCGGAAACCGCTTCAAAGTTAACTCAGCCTTAAATGAATATATATATTTTTGTGTACGGTGTGTAAAGCTCACCACTCGGGGGAAACAAAGGCGACCGGGCGTGGATCTGACCACAGCACACCCTTGTGTGCAGTGCTAGCACAAACATACGTGCTCGCTAACAGCACTTACTCCAACAGTCCGTAAGGCTACACGGAGAGACCTTTGTGTGCATGTCTGCAAACGAGACGAGATTCGTGCCTGACCGCAAGAGCCATAATCTCCCCACTTACGCAGATTTCATCATCTCAGCAGGCCTCACATTCTGCAACCACTCGTCCACACTGCTATAGCCTTCGCCGTTATCAATCGCCATCAGCCATTATCTATCCACTGCTTTGTGCAGACCTCCCGTAGCCGTCGCCATCTCACGCGGTCCAGCGACGCTAACAATCCACCCTGCATCTCTCGTGTGCCGCAGTCTCAAACTTCACTCTGGACTAGAGGCCACTCACTTAAGATGGTCGATTTATCGCGACTAGCGCCGTCCTTGCGTTCCCTTTAGACAGTTTGTGACGTTTTAAGGTCTTCAAATGTCGATGTTGTTCAGGTTATTTATATTAGAATATAATTGCGCGTTGACTCTAAATGTACAAACGAAGATTTTGGGTGTCGTGTTCCCTGCCAGTTGTGGTTGACGCTAGGATTAGGATGCTTAAAGGGGTGTCTCGTAGCGTCCGCGTGTTGAGTGGACGGACTTGCACTCGTCTATCGTACTGAATGAATTATCGAACGAGTGTGAATGAATGAATGAATAAATATTTCATGCGACCGACGGGAGTGCTCATTCACACGACGGCTGGGCTGTTTTCCACACACACACAAAGATCCCCCGTATAGCCTGAGCAGACTGTTGGGGCAAGTGCTGTTAGCGAGCAACTATGAAGGCCGGAGCGGTACACGAGGGGGTGGGTGACCAGCACCACGCCCGACCGCCTTTGTCTCCCTAGTGGCGATGTTTACACACCGCACCATGTCCTCGTTTGAGGCTGAGTCGACCTAGAGGACGCCCAGGACCGGTTCAAATAATCGGCACTCGTGTTGGCCGTGAGCGAGAATTAAACTCGGGTCGCCGGGTTCTTAGCGCAGCGCGCTAACCGTTGCACCACCGTTCCTCCCCCCCACACACACACACGCGCGCGCGCACACATCACTTAGCCGCACATCAACCCCACGTATGTTGTGCGTGGCCAAATAAAACATTATATGCAGCAAAAAAACCCACAACACGAACACCACGCGTGCAATCGAACACATCTAAATAACAATCCAGGGTCCGAATTTAGCTTTAGTTCCAAGGTGTGAAATGCGAGACCCGAATTGATCACTTTCCCGGTTTTTTAGCGTGCATTGTTTTGGAAGTGCCTACTTTATATTTCACGTTGACGTTGTACGTATATGTGTGGCGGCGGGAAGTTTGCGCAATGTGTGCGGTATTAGACACCGCGTACGTTGTGTACTCCGGTGACAATAACATCGCTCGATTAAAATGTGATAGCACTTGTAAAATATCAGTTCTACCTCCAAGAGGTCGGTGCGATTCATTGTATGTTGCCTTGTGCTCAACACATTTTCACGCCTCTCGCGTGAGTGACTGTGTGTGTGTGTGCGCGCGTGTCTTACCGGGCGTGGTGAAGGCCACTCACCCCCATCGCGTGCCGTGCCGGCCTTCATAAGATGCTCGCTAACAGCGCTTGCCCCAACAGTCTTTTGACACTATACGGGGGACCTTTGTCTTTGTTACAGGAATTAACGCAGCATATCAATTGACATCTTCTTACACGCTGTGTATATCGCAAAGGGAAGATGCGGCTGAACGTTTACACGTGTACGAAAAAGACGATTAATATTAAGAAGCTTTTTTTCGTTTAAATCGAGAAATGTAATTGACAATGCTTTGTAGAATTTGACGAGCGCGCAATTGTATTTGATTGCAATGTAAGTTAGTCGCTGAGTCGGGAGTACACGCACGGAACGGATAGCTGTGTACAGACGCACACGCGTACATCTGTGTCTATCTACATAATCTACATATTCCCAATTAAGTTTTAGCACCGCTAATTTGTAATACGGGCAATGAATAAAAATAGCAACTCGATCGAGCATTGTGAGCTCATAACACTTACACGTGGACTCATCACACAGCGACGCGCACGCGTTGCATGAGAAAAGACCTTGAACAGTCTCACCATTTAAAACTATGTAGTATTTTAATTATAATTTTGGTAACCTGCCGATGCCAAAGTGTTGGTGATGAGCCATGCACAAAGTGAGCGGTCTGTGGTTGTATACTGACAACAGCACATCTGTGCCTTAGACATCACACGCATGGCCAATTCAATGCTGAGCTATGCGGGGATATCAAGAAGAATCGAAGAGGCACGTTGGCATGGACTGTGTTTTAGAGGAGATGGCATGCGTGGCTTACGCCTCCGCAGCTGAGATAATCACGGCGATTATCACCGTCATGTTGCACGCCACGTCATCGCATTCGGGGCAATGGTCGCATTTTTTGCAAAACTAAACAGAGAGCAAAAAAGACAGCTTGTAAAAAAAAAACGAGTTAAATTAATATTGTTATAATTTAATAACGGGGAACTTTACGGTGGAAATAAGTAAGTTTCTGGGAAAAAAATTATGCTGAAAACTCGTTAACCATTTGGTGCGTTTTTGCATCTGTGCAAAGTTGGTGTGAATGTTTAAGACGCCGCCGCCGCTGCTGCTGTTCGTGTATCACATAAACGTGTTATCGTCAATCGATCATTCAACGCATCTTGCCCTAGATGCGCTCCAACTCTCCCCGTGTCAATAAGCTACTAGCGAGCGACGTGCACAACGCAACAACTAATCACGTGGCGCTGTGCGCCACCACGATCAGATAGATCATTATCGTTAGTGTATATGCGGTGTGTCTGTGTGCGCGTATCGCTAAGCATACAGCGCGTTTTAAAATTTAAAGCGACAACCTAATGCGCGACGCTCATTTTCGGTCGCGTTTATATACCGGTGGGCGTTCCCGCGCGCCGCGATTTGATTGGCCGCCGGAGAGCGGGCTTACCATATATGGGCAGGCGTCTCCGCCCCCTCGGCACGTCCATCACGAAAATCCGAAGGCGTACCTTGTAGATTTGACGCCTCCTCCTCTCTCCCCCTCCCTCTCTCTCGATTCCGAGGAAGAGGTAAGAGAGAGGGGCTGAAATAAAATGTGAGCGCAAACACCCGTGCTAGTACCCCCCTCCCATCTTCCAAGCACGTAACCCCCCCCCCGCCTCTCCATCCCTCCTCTTCCTCCTCCTCTTCACCCACCGACCTCCCCCATCGCACCCCCCCCACCTCCAACCTTACTACTCCTCCCCAATCCATGGTGGGGCTGAGAGGCAGAGGGAAATCCCACGGGAGCGCCCGGGCTCCACGAATCAGCCGAGACGCAACGCCCCTGCACGGCGTGCCGAGCTAAGGCGCGGATGGTCTTCGCCCCACGGCCAGTCTCCGTCGGGGCGAGCTACGGCGAACAGTGCGCACACACACACACAGACACACACACACAGAGAGACGCACAGACAGGCAGATTGACGCTGCCGAGCGACACGCGCCCGCTTTGCGTGGACGAGCAGAGGAGCCAGGAGGAGGGAGGAACAGTTGGAGCCCGCAGCAGCTGCAGCCTTTAGTGGCAACCGCGTCCAGGATGCTGTTCAACTGAAGCATTTCGACTTTGGCGAACAGATAACCCACCGCGTGTATTTTATATATATGTGCGTATATATACCGGTGTACGTATATTCGTTTTTGAAGAACAACAACAAGGAGGAGGAGGAGGATAAGAAGACGACGAGTCGTCCGGGTGTTTGAGAACCCTGTGGCTGCTGTACATCACAGCAGCAGCAGCAGGCTGTGGTGCAGGTCTCACTAGGACAGCGGACTTCCCCGTTATTTCAACAGCCAGAGCGACAGCAGCAGCAGCAGCAGCATTGGGGCTCAAATTTAGCGCCTGTCATTTTATTGCTATCCCGCCTCCTGTCTCTCGGGCAAGAAACAAAACAAAAACGAGAGGAAGAAGATTTAGAGAGGGAGTGGGGGGAGGGAAAGAAGAGAGAGCATCGCATCAACTATTTGTATTTATAAACTCTCGCCAGTAGCTGGAAGCACCAGCGGTCAGCTTCTCAAGGAAATCGAAGTCTGAGGAGGAGCGAGAGGGATCAAGAAAAGACTTTGCTGCGCGGCGCGAGAACGTTTCTGCTCCTGTTCTTTTACTCAAGTTTCCCGCACGACGCTCGTGGTGTTGTGCGCGCGTGTGTGTGTGTGGGGGGGGGGGGGATTGCGCCTGGCTTTTTGCCTCCTGACGAGCAACAACAGCGGCGAAAGCACAACACAACAACAACAACAACAAAAAGGGAAACAATTGTCCCAATTCTCTAAAATTGTAACCCGACAAAGTCGATCAAAATTCTGCTAAGAGGGGACTCCGGGACGTTGCCATTCATGTACGGAATTCAGGAAAGTTTACCCCGTGGGGGGCCAAGCATGAAGGAGGAGCCCCTTGGAGGAGGTCTCAACCCCGTGAGGTCCTGGATGCAGTCCTCCGGGGTGGTGGATGCCAACACGGCCGCCCAGAGGTAGGCGGCACCAGCGGTCGGACTCCGGGCGCGGTCGGAGGCGATGGCTCTTGGGGGTCGTTTGACCTCGGGGGCGACAAAAAGGCAAAGAGTCACCGAGCGTCATCCTGTGTCCGTGCGCGTGAGGGGTCCCGTCGCGTCCTCTACGCTTCTCTTTGCCCGACGCCAACACTCGCAGTCGCCGTTGGCTTTTGTTGTTGTTGCTGTTGTTGTTGTGGTATTCGTGTGTATGTATTCACGTGCACGTGGACGTACATCAACACTGGGGAGACAAAGGCGCCTGGGAGTGGTTGCCAGCCGCGCCACCCACCAGCATTTGTCCCAACAGTCTATGTAGCGTGTGCCACGGGGGATCTTTTCCTCTCTTTGTATTCCCGTCTGTCTCTCTGTTGGACTATCGCTGTCCTCATCCGAAGTGCCTCATTGTCGTCCGTGAGCACCCGGTGACGGCGGTTTTACCATCCACTTCGCGTAACTCCTCGTTGTGTATTTAATTACTCAACCGTTGCGTTTTTTACTTGCATTTTAGATGTTGTTGCACCTTCTTTGTCATTTTCTAGAAACTTTGCACTTTTTTTATTGCCGTCGTTCCATTTTCATTTGTGTTCATCGCCACGTTTCTCTTTGCTCTCGCTCAGATTTTCGCGTATTCTCTACGACGTTGTTAAATTGCATATCCCCCCCCCCCCCCACATTTCAAATCCTTCTTTCGTGGTAATGCTGAGTTATTACTTGACGCGAGTCTCTTGTTAACTTTCGTTTCATCTTTAAAGACGCACAGACACGCGCACGTCCTTTGCTGCTCCTCAATCCTCCTTCCGTAATATCGGCGCAAACTCGAACCCCCTGCGTCAAATAAAATCCGTGAATCTTTCGCGAGCGACTGCCAGTGGGGCCGCCTTAAGCTATCCGTCTCTTGCCTTGCCCGCGTGCACCCGCTAACTATTTTTTAGACGTCAACATCACCCACCTCGACGCTTACGGAGGTGGGGAGGCGGGAGGGGGGGGGGAGTTGGCCTCGCGGCGAATATCGTTCGCCCTTTTCCCCTCTTCTCGCTCTTTAACATTGACCATTGAACGTCGCTCTCCGCGCCACGAGAGGCCCCGCGCACAGACCGGTGTCTTGTCCGCGTCTAGGGGGGCGTCCGTACAGCCAGTCAGTCCCCAACAGAGTTCTCAGATCCGCGGCTCCAGAGGATCGTTGCTGGGATTCTGTAAAGCAATTCCACACCCATCATAGCAGATTCCACAGAGGGATTACGAATTGTAATTAAAATTTCAGTGATATTGATGGTGTGTATATATATACAGAGTATATATCATGTGTAGATCAGAATAACACGTGTCACTTATTTACTACTATTATTTGGTAACTTGGTGTGAAACCGAACGCGTGTTTGTATTTCATGCAAGTCAATAGCAAGCGCTCGTTTAAAACAATGACAATAATCATGTAATTATATAATTACAATTCTAAATGTTAGTAACGTTCTTCCATAAGGGACACGCGGATTGTGTTATCGAACGTCGCAAATTTCGGGAGATAGAGATACAAGGCGAAGTGCCACGGCCAGATAATGCGTGTCAAATGTACGACTTGCTATAGCATTGGACGTTTGAAACACACAGACACAGATCGCCCGTGTAGCCGAAACAGACTGTTGGGGCAAGTGCTGTTAGCGAGCACCTATGAAAGTGGGCACGGCACACGAGGGGGTGGGTGGCCAGCACCACGCTCAACCGCATTTGTCTCCCTAGTGGCGACATTTACACATCGTACTCGGTATTCATTTGCGACTGAGTCGACCTAGGGGAGGCCCATGACCGGTTAAGATAATCGTCACTGGTGTTGGCCGTGCGCGGGAAACGAGCCCGAGTCGGTGCAGCTAACGGCTAAACCACCGCTCCCCGCATGAGAAACACACACAGACACCACACACAGCACACACGCAGAAACCACACACAGCACACACACAGACACCACACACAGCACACACACAGACACCACACACAGCACACACACAGACACCACACACAAACACCACACACACCACACACAGCACACACACACCACATACACCACACACAGACACCACGCACACCACACACACACCACACACACCACACACACCACAGACACCACACACACAGACACCACACACACACACCACAGACACCACACACAGCACACACACAGACACCACACACAGCACACACACAGACACCACACACAGCACACACACAAACACCACACACAACACACATACACACATCACACACACCACACACACACCACAGACACCACACACACACTACAGACACTCACTCACGCGTCCCTCTGAGACTCTGATATCAGCACGGACCCTGAACTCCGCGTGGCATCGCGAACCGCGTTATCAACATCATCATCATCGAGCTATTGTTTAAACATGTGATGAACGTTACCTAACTACCGTATCGATACTATATATTTTAAAACGTTTGACTGGAGCGATGCATCTAACTATAACAATGATATGTATTGTAATTAAATCAACGCAATGTTGTTTTAAAGTCACCTTGTAAGGTGTTGGGGGAAATCTCTTATTTAGAGGATCGGCACAACATTTACGAATGAGATGTCTTCTGGAAACGTGACCCAAATACGATTTCAGATTTAAAGCCGTCAGAATTTCCGTTTGTATTACTCATCGTAAATTACTGCTAACGTCACTGTTGTAAAGAGGCCACTTTATTGCATGTATAAATACGAAACGTTGTACTTACATTTTTGGCATTTTCTTTTTCAAATATAATCGATCACCCACAGTCACTACAGATTCGTTTATTAATATTAGGGGGAAATTGCACGCAACAATTCATTTTTTGCACGGCTGCAATTTGTGTATGTATGTGTGTTTTTTTACGCGACTCTGGTTTAAGGGAATATTATCCACAAAAGGAAATCAATGATCAAGAACGCGTTCGTCTAGACACTATATTTGTTATTAATACTACAGCTACAATTATTATTCTAATTTATTACCCACATACTCGGCCGTTGTAACTAAAGCGACGCCGACCACCGAAAAAAATCGAAGCAGCAAAAAAAAAGCGAGCGCTCCTTCGCACTGTATTTACTTAAAACAAACGCGTGCATAAATATACATGCATATTTTATATGACGCGTTTCTATTATTCAGGACACGCGACCATTCCACCGACACGCAGTCGCGCTCTATACTTCAATCTTATTACTTTTTGGGAGGGGGGGGGAGGGGACAGAACAAGAGATGCGGGTTATGGGGATGAGGATGCTAGGGGTGGCATGACGTGACGTCTCGATCTTTGTTCGATGTAATGTATCGCCTACCGCCGCAGCGTCCGCGTACATAGCTGGGCCTCTTGATGTCACACGCACGCGCGGGGTTCCGTCCCCCTATGCTTCAGCACTGATGCTTACCTCTCTCCCGCTCTCTCTCTCTCTCTCGTTCCCACGGGTATCTCTGTTATTTATGTGTGTATGTATGTACGCGCGTGCGTAATTTCCCATCACTTCACCGGGCCTCGTGCCGGGTGGAGCTCGCTGAAGAGCACGTCCGCGAGTAGCCGATACGAGACACGCTAACTTGTTACCCACCCAGGGCAATGTATGATAGTTGTCATCACGTATAATTGCCTATGACGAAAACTACTAAACGGCATTTGCGGTGCACTCAGCTGCACACAAATGTGGTTATTGATAATAATTACAATGATACCGCTGTGGGGACTAAGGGAGAGAATAGTTACCGGCGGTGGCCTTTTTTAACCTTTGGAGCGTGAATTCGCCCGGATTGGAAAACTGTCGGAACTTCATTGAAGCCTATATCTTCCTGTGACCGTGTGCCCACAGAACGATGTGCGTTAGAATGAAACAAACACGCAAACAGACAGACATACACTTTGTGTCGATAGCAACTTACGACATTGCCGAACGCGCTTTGAAGCGTCAATACTCAATGCCCTCTAATCGTTCCGTAAGTCGTTGTGCGTCCCGTCCGTTACATTATTGTACTGCGACCCTGTGTGTGTGTATATATCGGCTTATTGGTTTAGTATCGATAACATCACTCATTAGTAAATACTAATTCAACAAGAGACAATTCTGGCTAATCGCTTGATGAAGCTGGTTGTAATCACCAGCGAAACGTCGGTCTCGAATTGTAAATGTTGTGGGTTTACTCTGCGACACACGGGTGTTCTGAACTTGTAACGAATTGGCACGTTTTGCTTACGCGACAAACCTTACTAATTGGCTGTGTCGGGTGGAAGCGGGTTTAATGACACATTTATATTTACGCGAATATAACCCAAAAAACCCTTTATAATGGATAATATTGGTCGCGACATCCTACGTGGTGAACAGCAGAAGTAGTTTTTTTGGCTCCGAATGCCACTTTTAAGCATTCCCCGTTGACGTCGTTGCTCGAAGCACAGCCTGTTCGCGCCTGCACCACTTGTTAGAGAAAGTGGTGCATCGTGAAAATAACGTTTTCCCTGCGTGCTGCCCATCAGTGCCTCCCCCCCCACCCACCCCACCACCTCATCGTGTCTCCTTGATTGTTGGTGACCCTCATCGATGCGCGTTGTGTCCGCGAGCGTGGTGCGGTGTGGGTTCTCCATTGCTCAGTGCCTTCGTCGCTGGCGCGGGGCATCGCTATTCGCGACCCCAGCATAAACAAACTCGCTCTTGTTTGTACAGCGTTATTTATTTTGTGTTTGTTTTACCCTGGCTGCTATCCTCTGTTCGCCAAAATGACTCCAGGTGTACCCCCCCCCCCCCTCTCTCTCTATCAACCCTCTCCCCATTTACGCATTGTCTCTTTCTCTCACCCCCCCCGGCTCCCACCCCCCGCTCCCCTTTGTCTCCGTTTCCCACCACCTTCGCCGGCGACAGCGGAGTCGCGCTGGCGAGGGCACACTTTGAGAAGCAGCCACCGTCCAACCTGCGCAAGTCCAACTTCTTTCACTTCGTCTTGGCGCTCTACGACCGCCAGGGCCAACCCGTGGAGATAGAGCGCACGGCGTTTGTCGACTTTGTCGAGAAGGACAGAGTGAGTTTGCGGCTTTTGTTGTTGTTGTTGCTTCGAATTGGGAACTTCGCGAACGATCGGCCAGCGAAACGTCCCTGGCGCGCGTGAACGCGTGCGTGTATGCGTGCATGCGTAAAGCGACGGATAATAAGGCAGCCATGCGGAGGGGAGGTGTGTGGGGGGGGGGAGAGAAAGTCCAAGGAAGGGGGTGCTTAAGAGATTGATAGATTTTGTTTCACTATTCTCCCCGATGTAGGGAAACGCGCTTAATTTCCTGAAGCGGTTCTGTAAGATTTACAAGCTTTTTTTTGTTGCTGTTATAACTTGCGAGCGCCCAGATATTCATTGAGCGTTCATCTGAACTTAACACACTCCATTAAAAACGTGACCAGTGATGACGCTGGAATTTGTTATTTCGGATCGTCGCAAACGCGGTGCTTGACCAGCCTGATATCTGCTCGTTCACTTTAGCATTATTAAATTGTGGTTGTAAATAAATCGAGTATATTTTAAAATTAACTTTATTAGTCACGGAGATGTTTTAAAATCACACCTGTGCGCTGGACAGGTGTGATTGGTGTGCGTTAATTATTCACATCCCATCGAATGCGTCCCATTTAATTGACGCGCACTCAAAGGTGGAAACAAAACAGATTTTCCGCGCATGTGATTCAGCACCTTCCTCGACAAACGATTTGCAAGCGTGGATTTGAACAAACATTTTTTTTCCAAACAACATCTATCGCGAATTAAATCCGTGTCGGCACCGCATAAACGACCCGCAATTGGAACGCAAAAGACAAAGTTCCCCCGTATAGCCTTAACACACTTAACAGACTGTTGGGGCAAGTGCTATTCACGAGCACTAATGAAGCTCAGCACGGCAAACGAGGGGGTGGATTGCCAGTGCCACGCCCGGCCGCCTTTATCTCCCCAGTGGCGATGTTTACACACCGCACCAGATACTCATTTCAGCCAACATGGGACCTATGCAGATAATCGTCACTGGTGTTGGCCGTGCACACGGACGCACGGAATTAAAACCCATCATCGCCACCGGCCACAACAACGCGTTTGTTTCAAAGCTTTAGCGCCCTCTCGCTGCACCAGCTACCGTAGCTCACGTGCAGAAGAAGAGCCACAGGCGTCCGGGGTGGCCAGCTATGGGGGAAGGGGGGGGATATTGCAAGAAGAGGAACCATCGCTTCTCTCAGAGAACACAGGCGCCGCAGATAGTCATCCGGCGGCGTCGCCGCTCGAGCTCACGTAAGGTCGGTTGCTCGATCGCTCGCTCGCCCGCACGAAGTCCCTCGCATCCGAACGCAACGCGCTCGTCCGTGCCGCGTGGAGTCAAGGCACGCGTTCGGCCCCTGTGTGACACCACGCGCCCCAGCGCCACGGAGTTTAGCGGTCACAAGTGAGGATGGAACTCTGCGATGGGGTTTGCTAAGAGGAAGGGTGAGACTTTTAGGCTTGCATGGTGAAACGCAACAAAGACAAAAATCCCCCATATAGCCTTAACAGACTGTTGGGGCAAGTGCTGTTAGCGAGCATCTATGAAAACCGGCACGGCGCACGAGGGGGTGGGTGGCCAGCACCACGCCCAGTCGCATTTGTCTCCCCAGTGGCGATGTTTACACACCACTCCAGGTACTCATTTGAGGCTGAGCCGACCTAGGGGAGGCCCAGGACCGGTTCGGATAATTTTCATTGGTATTGGCCGTGAGCGGGAATCTAATTCGGGTCGCCAGGTTCTTAGCGCAGCGCGCTAACCACTACACTACCGCTCCCCACAATACACAGGCACACACACACACCGCATATGCATACACTCCTTATACAGACGTCCGCGCGGAGTGTTACCGGTGCTCTCAAGCACGGACGAAAGACCTCAAACATAGATCCACTGAAGTCTTTCGCGCACGTGTATGTTCGCACATTTATATTGGCATACGCTTCGCGCGTTGAGCTACGCACCCGTGCGACGTGAGTTCAATTCCCGGCCACGGCTCAGTCATGGCTGGCGAGTGATATCTGAACCGGGTCCTGCCCGTAATCCCTCCCCAGCCCATTTACCAACCCGCACTCACCGACCATCGTGGCGAAGTGTCGTCAAGCAACACCCACGACGCACACGGTGTGGGCAGTCCTTCACCCAGCAGTGGATAGACTAAAGGGCTGTGACAGGACACTATTATTGGCATTGTCCCTTTCATTGAATTGTATAATCGATGCGCAGTTCGGGGTGGTTATGCCACATCGGTTCATTTCCACACACCATCTGAGCCATCCCAGTTAAAGGTCGCGATCCACGAGGGGCAATGGACATTGACAACAGTTCTCACGCAATGTTTGAGTCGAACGGGGGGGGGGGGGTCCCAACCCCCGTAGATTAGAGGGAGAGCTCTTGCCAATGACTACCGAAGAGTATTTTGTAAAGCGAACCCGACTCCCACTGATGAGACAACAGGAGGTCGAAACCGCTCCAGGCGTTGTCGTGCTTGCAAAAACGCTGCTGGTTAATCTGTGTCCGGGGACACACACACACACACAAGGCCGATGGATCGTAAACGCTGTTGTTATTTTGTTTTTTGGAATCTTATTTGGAAAAACCGAACGAAGGGCCACGTATTGATTACATGTACAGTGCGTTGTATTGTAGACACAGCTGCGTCGCTCTATAGGCCACTGCCGCGCAACTATTTACGATTGCTCACGGTAGAAAAAAGGTTTTGTCGTCGTTGTTGTTGTTGTTGCGAGCGACAGTTGCCGGTAACCGAGCTGAAACGTGGGCGCGTCCATCTCTCGGACCTTGACAGGCACCTAGCTGGTGGCTCAGAGCCTGCGCCTCGAATCTACAAATCGTGCTCTGTGTTATTCTGCGTTGGCAGCAGTGCAGGACCACAAATAACAACAACAATAATAACAACCACAATGATGATGATGATAAAAGTAAACTCATCACATTCGTCAATCAGAATTGAGAATGTTTATTTATACTGGAGGAATCCGATGAGCTATAAAGCTCTCCTTCACAGATGCCCAGTAGTTACAGATGTCCAGTAGTCAATAACACTGACCTGACAGGAAATACAAAACAATATTATAATCGATAACGCTTCGGGCGATAACCCTTCTTCACATAGCAGAGATACGACATGTTAAAAAGGGTCATTCCCCGAAACGTCGTCTGTTACATATATATGCGACATATACGGGGGTGTTATTGATGAACGTGGTGGATTGTTCTGGCTCCTTTGGAGACTCGTGCTGCCTGCTCGTTTGTTGTTTCCAATGTCGAGCTCCGCGATCCAAGCGCCGCCGTGAGCGATGTCCGCTCAGAGCCGTGGTCACGGGACTCGACATTCGAGTCCGCCCGTTGCATTCCTCGCTCTCCCCTTCTCCTTCTCGTCGTCTCCCGAACGCATCAGGGGACGGCGGCGGCGGTGGGGGGGGGGGGGTCGACGCGAGCTGCCCCCCCACGCCCCCCGGTTGAGACTTAAGGGGCGAGTTCAGTTGAGCTGCAATAGCGCGCATATGGCGCTTTTGTAACGTATACGCATAATCCTATCGCGAACAGCTGATCCGGCGCATGAATTTTTAACGCTAAACGGCCTTTACACGAAGTAATCTCTGCTCACAGAGAAAGGAGAGGGGGAGAGAGAGAGAGAGAGGAGGAAACAACAACTAAAAGAAATTGAAGTATATCTGTCCGCTTGCATATTTGAATAAAAACATATTTTTTCATATTTTATTTTGCAGGAACCAAACAGTGAAAAAACTAACAACGGCATCCACTACAGACTACAGTTACTCTACAGCAATGGTAAGGAAGAGCACTTTCTTTCGTTCGTTTGTTTTTTCCAAACTAACACCGCAACCCGTGCAGCGTGTAGACATACGTAGCGACTGTCTCAATGACGGAATGACACATTCACTTCCCTCGATAAAACTTGCACCAAATCACGTGGATCAACGTGACATTTTGGCGCACGCTGATGCGTGTACGCGTTGCACACGTGTAGATATGTAAGGCAAACGACGAGTATTTTTTTGCACAATTCTGAGATCGTGCGAATAGTGGTTAAAATAACACACTGCTGTGTGTACGGTGCGTATATACGTATAATGGGATGTGTTGCCGAACGGAGAGCGGTGGCGCAGTGGTTAGCGCAACGCGATATTAATCTGTCCCATCTGCGATAGAATCCCGGTCACGGCTGACATCAGTGGCGAGTTATATAACCCCCCCCCCTTCACCCACCCGCACTGACCTGGGTGGTGAAGTATGGTCGTTCCTGCAACCCGCATGATCGACACTGCGTGGGGGCTGTCTTCATTCAGCAGTGGATTGGCAAAAGGCTGTACGTTATTATAGCTGTGATATATATTTATATATGTGTGTGTGTGTACACTGTTTGCTTGTTTTTAAAGACAAATAATAGAACGCATCCATGTGCTATTATCTGTGGGGACATTCAGCTATAGAGTTACTGGCGACTTCCTCCGCATATCTATTATGTGTATCAGCCTCGCTAAATAAACTCAGCTGTTTATGCACGCGCATTATCTCAGCATATTGTGAGATTAACCCGCATGATTTGTCTTCACGATCCGCGGCGCAGCGGTTAGCGCGGTGCGCTACGAACTTGGCAACCTAAGTTCGATTCCTGGCCAAGCATAACAATTGGCAGTGGCAGATATCAGAAACGTGCCTGGGCTGTCTTTTCACCAACCCGTGGTGGCCAGCGTTTTGAAATACGGTCGCATAAAACCTATGCCCGATGACAGCATGGGGAGGCATTCATCCAGCAGTGGATAGGTTAATGGCTGTAAATAATTATTACCAGCAGTATATATATACACACGTGCACAATAACATGTGTGTATCCTGCGAACGTTGTGCATTAATTGGAACAGCACCAATTAACATCGCGGTAGCTTTGTAGACGCTGTGATGTGACGTCATACGCTGGTGTTCCGACGGAACAACTTAACGCAGACCGCAAGCAGAAAAAGAAGATTAAAGACATTGGCCGGGCATTATATTTATTGATGTACGATATTGCACGCAAAATGTGGCATTGTGGGATTATCCTAATTCGACTCTCCTTCTTGCAAACGCAAGTGATGTCTTCTAATAGTTGTTTAATCGCGGCCCCGCGATGCATTTTATGAGTACACACTATAACGTGTGTGTGCGTATGTGTGTGCGTGTGTGTGTATGTGTGTACGTACGTGGGTAGCGGTAGTGTAGCGGTTAGCGCTACGCTTGCACTACGAACCTGGCGTCCCGAGTTCGATTCCCGCTCACGGCCAACACCAGTGACGATTATCTGAACCGGTTCTAGGCCTCCCCTAGGTCGACTCAGCCTCAAATAAATACTTGGTGCGGTGTAACATCGCCACTGGGGAGACAAAGGCGACCGGGCGTGGTGCTGGCCACCCACCCCCTCGTGTGCCGTGCCGGCCTGCTCGCTAACAGCACTTGCCCCAACAGTCTGTTACAGGCTATACGGAGGCTCTTTGTTTTTTTGTATCTATGTGATGAGTGCACACGAGCTCAGCACACAAGTACACACACACACACAAGTACACACACACACAAGTACACACACACAAGTACACACACACAAGTACACACACAAGTACACACAAGTACACACACACAAGTACACACACAAGTACACACACACAAGTACACACAAGTACACACACAAGTACACACAAGTACACACACACACACGTACACACACAAGTACCCACAAGTACACACACACAAGTACACACAAGTACACACACACACGTATACACACACAAGTGTATACACACACACAAGTACACACACACACAAAAGTACACACATACAAGTACACACACAAGTACACACACACAAGTACACACAAGTACACACACACAATTACACACACACACACACACAAGTACACACAAGCACACACACAAGTACACACACACAAGTTCACACAAGTACACACACACAAGTACACACAAGTACACACGTATACACACAAGTATACACACTCAAGTACACACACACAAGTACAACAACAACAACAACCGCCATTCGCCACTAAGTGGCGGTGACGTCACCACGACGCACACACACAAGTACACACACACAAGTACACACAAGTACACATTTATACACACACAAGTACACACAAATACACACACACAAGTACAACAACAACAACCGCCATTCGCCACTAAGTGGCGGTGACGTCACCACGACGCTTGTGCCAGGCCATGTGCACTTTCAGGCCACGTGAAGTGTCGAACACACAAGTACACACACAAGTACACACAAGTACACACACGGACTACAGTGAGTATGCATTCCCCGATGTGTTTTCGGGTTGTACCGCGTGTTGCTTGGCACGATGTCGGACGTTTCGCTTCACGTGTTAGGATCTTCTTCAGGAATTGAATTCCAACCCTGAAATGCCATCGCGGAGTGATACAGCACGTCTGCTATTGACACTCTTACTTAGTATAGAGTTAGTACCTCATGGACAAGTAACATCTCTGCAAAGATGCCGATGGATTATAACGACTTTGACGGTTTATTACATTTGGCCGGGCATACCAACATTAACACGTTTTCACGAAAACGAAACATCTGGCCTAAATAAATACGCGGTGTTTAGTAAACATCCCCATTAAGGAGACAAAGGCGGTCAGCCATAGTGTTGGCCACCGACCCCCTCGCGTGCCGTGGCGGCCTTTAGAGGTGCTCGCTAGCAGCACTTGCCCCAGCAGTCTGCGACAGGCTATACGGGGGGTATTTGCCTTTGTATTTTAGGGGATATGACAACGCCAAGTCCGAGTGTACGGCATGGGCGCAGCGAGATATCGGTGGAAAACACGGCCTCGTTAGTAGGTGAAATATAAATAAATAACACCACCACCACAACCACAACCAACAACAGCGGCAGCTAGATATATAATTTTATATATAAATGTACGCAGCTGGAGCACGGAACAAGTTCGTGCCGTGACAGGCGCACGCTCGCGCGCGCCGCTAAATGAAATCGGCCCCGTGCCCCGAGGGCCCCGCGTGACGTCGGCGGGCCCTGGGGGCCCCGAGGCCGCTTGCTTTCCACTAAGCAAGTGCCAATTACAGCGAGCGAGCGGGCAGTTGTTTTAATCATCCTTCTCCACCCACTCTCGCAGCCGCTTTACAAATGAACGTTTTTGTTGTTGTTGTTGTTTTACCAAACCACCATCATTGTCATCTTTTTCCGTTCCAACCCTTACTGACCAGCATGGCGAAGTATAGTCACGCATCTCCCCACTTCCCCCTAATGGTAGCGCAGCAATGATAGATGACGAACAGAGTGGAGGTGTAAGCGATGTTAGGAGTCTCTCTGGGTAAGAACAGAACGCCTAAACGGCTTGACCATCGCCGCTTGCACTGTGAAGTATGAAACTTTTGGTGAATTGCAGGCAGAATCGAGAGGAGATAACCTGGGATTATAGTCGACATTGGTGAGGTGCACATTAAAGGGGAGAACTGCGTACATCTTAATCATCATCATAATAATCATCAGACATGGTCAATCCACTGATGGATGAAAGTCTCTCCAATTCGCGACCACCTCTCGCGATTTTGCGATGTAAAAATCCAAATAATTATAAAAAACATTTTTTACAAATAATGCATTTAATTTGTGTAAACGATAGGTTTTAACTGATGGGCATCTGACCAATAATGAATGGGTGGGTGGTTAGCTGCAAGCGCTGTTACCATATTCTCTATAAGGTAAGACCCCCAACTTTTGCTTTAGATAACAATACCCTGCGGGGGGGAGGGGGGGGTGAAAAAAGCGCGTCGAATAATCTGAGAAATACGGTAGCAGTGGTTGTGTTGGTTAAATGAAGGCCCGTGTGTGTGTGTGCACGCACACACACACACGTGCCTCGCGGCGTCACGTCTCGTGACGTGAGCACACAGTGGCTAACTCTAATAATAATGACATAGTGATATAATATAAAATAATAATGATGTTCGCTTATTAACAATTTGTATGATGCGTTTTGCGGTATTGTGCGAATTTAGATAAAAAAACGGGTGTTATTATTATGATTATTGTTCCACTCGTCCGAAATTGTTTTAAGATTCCGAACGTGGTCTTGCGGTGGCTTATGGTTTAATCATAACACTTGCATCCATACGTATGTATAGATAAAATAGGAGTTATATCACAAACATATTGACACTTTAACACTTAAGCAATGTCAATACATAGGACGCTTGGATAATTCCATGAATGAGTGTTGGTTCCATGCGGAAGGAAACGAGTGATTATGTACCCGGAGAAAACCTAGACAAGGAGTAACCTCTCTGCTACTATCCGTACAGATGCATTTAATAATAATCAATTTCTGTAACTCCGCACCACGTGTATGTATGTTTTTTCGCACCGTACGTAGCCAACCGTGCTAATAGGAGGTGCAAGGGAAGGACAACAAACTAAACACCAAACGCAGTTCTTAAATAAATTAGTGTTCAATCTAAATACAGCCCCAATATTAGAACACCTCGAAAAGCATTCGCACGCCATCCGCCATCGTCCCAGTAAACCAACAACAGCCTATCTGTATATACACACACGCACACAGCCTGCTCAGCTTCCGAGATCGAGTCTGATGTACATGGGGAGCGCATTCGGAACGATGCGACGCTGGTGGAGGGGGCGGAGGGATGTCACGATTCGGTTCCCACGCGCGGCCGCCCCGAGCCGAACCGCGCCGCGTCTCCGTGACTCCGCGTTAACCTTTGCCCGCGTGTGTCGCGTGCCACTGTCAGGCATCCGCACGGAGCAAGACGTCTACGTGCGGCTCATCGACTCCATGACTAAGCAGGTGAGCCGTGCGCCATCGAGCAGCCGAAGGGGATTTACGGTGAGACGAGGCCGGGCGCGCTTTATTGGGGGGGTGGACGAGGGGGGAAGGAGTGGAGTGGGGGGAGGCGAGAGAGGGAGGGGGTTAGTTGAGGTTGGGTCGGGGGAGAGGGCGGAGGGGGGATAGGGGAATTGGGGAGGTCGAGATGAACTCGACACGTGCTTGGCACACGTGCCGCCGCCAGCTGTGCGCATGCGCTCCCAAATCTACCGACAGCACTTGGACTCTCCGCTCAAAGAGGCGGATTGTGCCGCGCATATTCTGGCGTGGTCTGGCTGTTTGGGGCGATTGCTGTTGGCAAGCGCCTATTATGGTGGGCGCTGCGTACTTAAAAGGCATGGTATGGTCAGTAACGTGCCCGGCCTCCCGTAAGCTCCCCAGTGTTGATCTTTACGCAACGCGTCAGGTGCCCATTGAAGGCTAAGTATGCCTAGAGGAGGTCCAGGAAAATCCTGAGGTAAACATTTGAACACCGATGTTATCTCTGCCCGGTGACCCAGGTCGCCTGATTCGTTTGCGCTGTGCGCGAACCATCGCGTCTGATCGTACGCGCGTCGTGACTTGCGCCCGCACAATGCGCTTGCAACAAACAATACCGCCGTCTGTGTCTCCAGCAACGCTTCGGTGATCGTTCACAGCAACTCTTGCCCTTGCAGTCTACAATGTGCTACCGATACTTATACACACAGTGTCTTAATTCCTCACTCGGATATTACCGGCTGTACTGGTTTGGTGATTTTTGGCGTAAGGCACTACCACTAGAGAACGAGGTTCGCGATTTCTCATAATGATCCTCTATTTTTGTACCCTAGACAAGTCCTCCGATAATGACACGAGGACAAATAAAAACAATAAGTGTGGTGAGGACGAACTGAGTGGAGATGGACGTGGCGTCGTTTAGGCTGACATGAAGCACCGCAGGCGTGCGACGAGCGACATCCCCGTGACTCGTGTTGAGATCGCGACGGTGAGGGTCGTTCGCGTTCCTTTATCGGATGGATGAGTCGATGGGGCGGCCGCTGCGCTCGGAGTAACAATGGCCCAAAAGCGCAGAGCTTTCGCGCGGCGCAAAGCCCTAATCCATACAGTGTGGCGTTATGCTGCACTGAGCACCTATGTTACGCGTTATCGTGTGCGCGCGTGAGTCGACACTTCCGATGATTTCTCGATGGCAATGTATTCGTGAGATGTTGGGTACACTCGATCCAGCGCACGCGACAGTCGTAGTTTGTTCAAACAATTGCCGATCTTATTCGTAGGTCCATTGTTATAACGCGATGTCACTGTTTTAGGACCTTACGTCCGCGCGCGATATTGCAGCTAATGACCAAATTACGTCGACGAGTCCCAGTTACATTGAAACCGGTACACAGTGGACTTGTTGGGCCGGCGTTCTGACGCTTAAATTAAAAACGCAACAATCTCGACTTGGTTTTTCTTTGCCAGTTGGCTTATCGCTAGCCAAGTTCTCTGTGCAAAAAAAAACAAGAATGACAATGTCATCTTGACATGCAAAACAGGCCGAGAGCGCTACGCCTTGATATCGAATGTGGACGGCTGCATTGTGGGGGGGGGGAGGGGAGGGGGGCAACCCTTGCATCAAACCAACCGCGCAGCGTTCGTTACACGTAGACAACACAGCGCACATCATCATCATACACGACCCTCTGAACGGATGGTTCATGCGCCTACAACGCACGTGTATGTTTCAGTACTGCTACAAGATATGTTCTATTGGAGGGAGCCATGCCCTTCCACCACAACCCCCGCCACCTACTCGCCACCACCCCCCCCCCCCCCCCGAGCAGAATATAATCCGCCTTGTAATTACTTTGGGCCCTTCTGTTAACAATAGCGACGGCACTGCGGGATTAATGCGGAATCAGCCGGCCAGCCGTGCATTTATGATACAAACCATATTCCACGCGTCGCGTCTTTTGCTCCCCTTGTCTCTGGCGCTGTTTATTGAGTGCGATAATGTTAGTTTTATTATTATTCCTGCTGCTACTACTGTCACAGCGCGGCAGCGTTCATGTTGGCGACACGTTTGTGTTGAATTGCGTTGTGGTGGGGAGCGGTAGTGTGGCGGTTAGCGCGTTGCGCTACGAAACTGGCTCCATTCCCACTCACGACCTAGAGGAGGTCCTAGACCTGCACTAGGTCGACTCAGCCTCAAATAAGTACCCGGTGCGGTGTGTAAACATCGCCACTGGGGAGACAAAGGCGGCCGGGCGTGGTGCTGATCACACACCCCCTCGTGTGCCGTGCCGACCTTCTTTGGTGCTCGCTCACAGCACTTGCACCAACAGTCTACTGAAGGCTATGCGGGATATCTTTGTCTTCGTGTGCGTGCGTGTGTGTGTGGATCCTGCCTTGTGTGGACCCGTCTGCGCGCTTCGCTTCATTGCTTACCCCGGCACTTTCATTGTCGGTGCGTGGCTTAAATTGCCCCGCGTACAACAAACGTTTGTTCAGAAACGCGTCTGCCGTCACCCGCATAACAAAGGCGACGCAATATTATTATAGCGCGAGCGATGAAAACGCACTTTAAAAAAATATATATCACTAATATTCCCGCAATCAATTACGATTCCGTACCAAATGGAACGCGCTGAATAAAAAGGATTTAAAAAAATCCACTCCTAGGCCATTCATTTTCCCGTACGCGCAAAGTGCGTAAGGGTAAGAGTTACACATTCGGCTACACAGTAGTTTCGTTTGAACAACGGGGGACATTGTCTGAGCTACACGTGCGTTAAGATAATCACCCGTAACGCAATTAACATTCGCTTATTTCAAAGCAAAATATAATCCCGATGGAAGGCATTAAGAATAAAATATACAAAACAACACACGCTTTAACTTAATTTGTATCGATCTAACTTAATTGACCTCTCACGGAATGCCAATCTCACCTGCGATGAATAACGATACACGAGGCGCGTCAGTGTCATTCAAATGCGCGCTGCGTGCGGCCCACGAGCACACACACACACACCTTGCGTGACGCTTTACTGCGCGATGCAACAAAGGCAAAGATCCCCCGTATAGCCTGTAATAGACTGTTGGGACAAGTGCTGTTAGCGAGCACCTTTGAAGGCCGGAACTGCAGTCGAGTGGATGGGTGGCCAGCACCACGCCCGGCCGGCCTTTGTCTCCCTAGTTGCGATATTTTCGCATCGCACAAATTACTCATTTGAGGTTGAGTGGACCTAGGGGAGGCCCATGACCGCTTCAAATAATCTTTACTGGGGTTGACCGCGAGCGGAAATCGATCTTTGGGTCGCCGGGTTCGTAGCACAGCGTGCTAACCATTACACCACCGCTCCCGAGACACGCGCGCTAGGGTGAACACATCGAGACAATTTACTCAATAGCCCACGGAGCCCTGCCTGCTTTTCAGCCATCCGCTAGTTCGGTGAATACGGCCTAAATAAAGTCACGATACTATCTGACACCTTGGCACATTGTGTTAATGTCGGCATACATTGGCTTTTGATGATAGCAAAGGGGACATGGGCAGGGCACGTCGTGGCACGAAGGGGTGAAAACAGGTGGACGAGACAGGCGACGGAATGGCAGTCAATGGAGAGACCCCAGCCCGAGGAGACGAGCGCTGCGGAGACGGAGCGATGGAAGTGAGATGCATTGTCGATCCACGGCCGTAACGTGTGTGTGTGTGGGGGGGGGGGGGGGGTGATCACGGCGAAGGGGGGGGGGGTTGCTTTCAAGCAACAGTGAATAGAACATAGCTGATGATATTTATGTAAAACCGTGATTTCGTGAAATACAGACTCACCGGGTTCGCACCGAGCCGATGCGCGCCCGTGAACTCTCAGCAGGTGCAAATCGCCGGCTATTTCTGAGCGGGTGGCATCTTTTAGAAGAGCGATGCCGCTAAGCGACCCGGCGCCAGCACGACCATTGTGAAACTCGCACGGAGTGTGTGTCTGTGTGTGTGCGTGTGTGTGTATACTTAGTGGGGAGCGGTGGTGTAGCGGTTAGCGCGCTGCGCTACGAACCTGGCCACCCGGGTTGGAATCCCGCTCACGGCCAACACCGGTGACGATTATCTGGGCCTTCGCTAGGTCGACTCAGCCTCAAATGATTAAAACTTAACGTTACTCACACTCAGCTGTGGACAGATATTCCGAAGTAAATCAATGTAAATGAGCCGATGAGGCTCAATTAGTGGTGGAGCGTGGTCGGCATGGGCCCTAGCGCAAGCAACGCAATGGGGGTCCCCCCGCCTCTGTGGCCTGGGTAACTGGGCCCCTCCGGCCCGTATCCACGCACTTACATACTCGTCCGTGTGTGTGTGTACGTAGAGTTGTGTGACTAAGGTGGCCGAGCGGTGGTTCTTGACCACACCACTCTGCCGTGAGCCGTTCCCACCGTAATCACGAGCTTTCTAGTTTCGCTTGCCCCCCCCCCCCCCAACGGCCTGTTAAAAAAACCCATCTATACGGGCCACATTTGTCTTGTGTATGTGCGTGCGTGCGTACATGTACGGCACGTATGTCTGTGCACTCGTGTGTGGCTGTACATGTATGCGGGGAGCGGTAGCGCCGTGTGGTTAGCGCGCTGCCCTGCCAAACCGGCAACCTAAGTTCGATGCCCGCTCGAGGCCAAAACGATTGACGATTATCTAAACCGGCGCTTGGCCTCCCCTAGGTCGACTTAGCCTAAAATGAGTAACCGTCGCGAATGCGTAAACATTGCCGGACGGGCGTGGTGCTGGCCACCCACCCCCTCGTGCGCCGTTCTGGCCTTCTTAGGCGCTACTCGCTAACAGCACTTGCCCCAACAGTCTGTTACAGGCTATACGGGGGATCTTTGTTTGTGTACGAGAGAGCGCCCTCCTGCAGTAACGCCCCCAGGCGCTACTTGGAGTCGTCACGCGGCGCGTGTCGGTAATCGCTGTCGGCACCGCACACGGCCACTTTCTGGGTCCCGTCAGTCGTAATTTTTCTTGAAGCGCTTTCAGAGATGCGTCTGCGTTAAGGAGCCCCGCACGTTCATTAGGGCGGCGAGCGCTAGCGCGGCGCCGCAACTTTGTAAATAATCACAGCCGCGGTGCCAGGCGCCGTGATGGCTGTAGGGGAACGGGCCAACGGCTGGTCGGCAATGATAATTATCGACTCAAGCTTCCGTACATTCCGTTTTGTTGTCTTCCTTTCACATTTAGCCCGCCCGTGACGTACACGCGTACATCACACCGTGTACATCATACCGTGTACATCACGCCGTGTACATCACGCCGTGTACATCACACCGTGTACATCACGTCGTGTACATCACACCGTGTACATCACGCCGTGACGAAGCAACATCGCACGCGGAGCGCGTCTGTCGCGTCCGTGATGAGCAGCAACCTCCCACCTCCCGTGTTGTGAGGCAGGCACAAGCTACGGAGTCTGTCACTTTAAGGAACACCGGGGAATGTGTACACACGCGCAGTTCTCTCGACAATCCACTGCCGGATGAGGGTCTACCCAAAACCTCTCAAGGTTTTTCGAGGTCCACCACCCCCCGAAGCCGTGTGGGTCGTGGGAGTTATTTGGAAACAGATTTAATCACGCTGGCCAATGCGTGTTGGTGAACAAGGTGCGGCTTAAGGCGTTGCTTTTGGAGCATAGAACGTACCGTACAACGGTGCTTTCTGCTGACAAAGTGGCACCGCATTGGCCTGCGACACCTATTAGGGCAATGGCGATCACTCAAGCAGGCACTATCCCGGCTCAACTCGACATGGTGCTGAGATCGGACGCATTGTGGGAGATTTGATCGTAAGGCCCTTTGAGGCGCCCCATCGCATTGTAAACCAGCCACGGTGGCTAGGAGATGTTAACTACCTCGCCCGGTAGGCAGGAGGTCGTGGGTTCGATCCCGACCCTGACGCCTGCTGCTGTATATTTGGAGTTTGTGTGTCTCTCTCTCATCATCATCATCACGGTGGCTAGGAGATGTTAACTACCTCACCTGGTCTACAGGAGGTCGTGGGTTCGATCCCGACCCTGCCGCCTGCTGTATATTTGGAGTTTGCGTGTCTCTCTCTCTCATCATCATCATCATCACGGTGGCTAGGAGATGTTAACTACCTCGCCTGGTCTACAGGAGGTCGTGGGTTCGATCCCGACCCTGACGCCTGCCGCCTGCTGTATATTTGGAGTTTGCGTGTCTCTCTCTCTCATCATCATCATCATCACGGTAGCTGGGAGATGTTAACTACCTCGCCCGGTATGCAGGAGGTCGTGGGTTCGATCCCGACCCTGACGCCTGCTGCTGTATATTTGGAGTTTGCGTGTCTTTCTCTCTCATCATCATCACGGTGGCTAGGAGATGTTAACTACCTCGCCCGGTATGCAGGAGGTCGTGGGTTCGATCCCGACCCTGACGCCTGCTGCTGTATATTTGGAGTTTGCGTGTCTCTCTCTCTCATCATCATCATCACGGTAGCTAGGAGATGTTAACTACCTCGCCCGGTATGCAGGAGGTCGTGGGTTCGATCCCGACCCTGACGCCTGCTGCTGTATATTTGGAGTTTGCGTGTCTCTCTCTCTCTCATCATCATCATCACGGTGGCTAGGATATGTTAACTACCTCGTCCGGTATGCAGGAGGTCGTGGGTTCGATCCCGACCCTGACGCCTGCTGCTGTATATTTGGAGTTTGCGTGTCTCTATCTCTCTCATCATCATCATCACGGTGGCAAGGAGATGTTAACTACCTCGCCCGGTATGCAGGAGGTCGTGGGTTCGATCCCGACCCTGACGCCTGCTGCTGTATATTTGGAGTTTGCGTGTATCTCTCTCTCTCATCATCATAATCACGGTGGCTAGGAGATGTTAACTACCTCGCCTGGCATGCAGGAGGTCGTAGGTTAGATCCCGACCCTGACGCCTGCTGTATATTTGGAGTTTGCGTGTCTCTCTCTCTCTTTATCATCATCAACATCACGGTGGCTAGGAGATATTAACTACCTCGCCTGGTCTGCAGGAGGTCGTGGGTTCGATCCCGACCTGCTGCTGTATATTTGGAGTTTGCGTGTTCTCGTCGTGGTCGTGTGAGATTTTTCTCCGGGTCCTCCAGGTTTTCCCTCCACATTTAGAATCGACATCACGTGTTTAGAGCTTCTGTCTGCTGTCCATTTCCACGAGATGAGCCACTTGGTTAAACCATCGTTTGTGACCAGGTCGCTTCTGAAAAAGAGCTGTTACAGCTCAGTGGGCCTTAGTTGGTGAAATACAAATCATTGAGTTTATTTTTTATTTTTTAGCAGCGCCTCTTGGTTAAGTACCGCGTTTTTTGTTATCAACTCTGAGTTTTATGAAGGAACTCGATGCGATGGCCCAAGTATGAAACGTGTGCTGTGCTTCGACGGTGCCTGCCGTGTGCAGGCGATCATTTACGAGGGTCAAGACAAGAATCCGGAGATGTGTCGGGTGCTGCTCACACACGAGATCATGTGCAGGTGAGTTGTGGCGAGCATTAGCGGTCATCAGCACGGTGATCATCCTGATCATTAAGTAAGTATAGTCGTCGTCATCATCATCATCAGCAGCAGCAGAGTGATCATCATCACCATTCGTAGAAACATAGTCATCGCCAGCAGCGTATTGATCATCATGATCATTCGTAGCAGAAGCATAGTCGTCATCATTATCATCGCAATCAGTAACAGAAGCATCATGGAAATCATGATAACCATCATAAGTAGTTGCATCGTCGTTATCATCAGTAGCAGTAAAATCTGCGTAGTCATCATACTTTGCATAATCATCATCAGACGTCATCATCAGTATACGTAGCAGCTGCATTATCAATGTCAGTAACATCAGCATCGTAATCATCAACATCATCATCATCTCATCGATAAGGTGCTTCTAGTCCACGGCATTCATTTCGTACGAAGATGAAACGCACCAAGGGCAATGACACACCATCTGCTCCCCCCCCCCCACTCTCCAACGCAGCCATGGCATGGGAATAACAGGGCTACGCTACACTGATGGTCTCTAATAAGAGTGAAACAAGTACCCGATATAATTCACTGTATTGCATGAAGATATCATCGTGGGCATTTGTTTAAAACTATTATTTTCAGATATTTTGACGTAGATTCGTAGAGAATTGCTTAAGCAAGAGAGTAGGCAACAACGTGCGTTATGCGGGGGAGGGGGGGGTGGCACTTAATGCGTCTCCATCGACCCTGACGCCACTTCCACCTCCGACAATTAACCGCATCAAAAATGTATCGTGCCTCGACGCTGAATAGCCGCGTGCGTTAATTGCGGGCTTTACGCAGCGACGTTTTAAATCCACGTGAACAAAAAGATCCCTTTCGCTCGGTTCTCTTCCGCACGCACGCAAGGAAGCACGCACTTACCAGACGGACGGGCGTTCGGAACGGCCTCATCCCATTCCGGGTTCACGCATAAGCCGCGAGGACCAGCATTAGCACAAGCTCACTATTAAACATTTACACTTCCCCATTAACAGCGGCGGCAGCGGAGGAGTGCAGGAAATTGGTTTTGCGCATTAAACAAGCACACATCGAGAGAGAAGTGGGGGGGGGGGGGGGGGGAGTCAGCGACACCACCCAGGAAGCGTACGATACTGACGACAAATGCGATTGATGGCAATTGAAGCGAATATGATGAGCGACGTAAAACTTTCGGCGCTTTCTTCACGACCCCCTGCCTCCTTAAGCAACGCAACGGAACAGGCACACAACGTAGTTCACAGCCTTTTGTCAATCCGCTACCGATGGGGAGGGAAGCACCCCCCCCCCCACCTGCCACCCCCCCCTCCCCTCAATATGGGTTGGGTGACCATACTTCACCACGCTGGTCAGTGCCACTTGATGAAAAGCGGATAGAAGGGCGAATGATGGACCTGTTTATATATCAAGTGCGTTATTACACGCGCAACTCTTATACCCAACGTTGTCACAGAAGCGCAGATATGACTTCGCCGCTGATGTTTAACCCTGGTCAGGAATTAGAACTAACCCCCATGGCGCAAGGTGCTAACCACCTGTGCCACCGCTCCCTCACCCCCCCCCCCCCCTCCCCATACATCGTCGCAGAATCATCACGCGAAGATTTGGATACAAACTCAATCACCACACGTGGCCGTTGAGGATTATGGGTCATTACATGATTAAATTCACATCCTTTGGCTTTTCTACGTAAAACAACGGTCATGAAATAAAGATATTTCTTTTTGGTCCGTGAGCCTAAAAAATAAGATGTGGAGCGGGATTTTTACAGATGAAAATGTTGCCGGATCGATTTCCACTTTCTGGGCCTCATCAGCGGTGCAGGCACGGCATGGGGCCATACACGCGCAGCCCACGTGGACTGCAGTCGAACGCGTGTTGTTCGTTTCGTTTGTTCTCAACCAATTCGTCGAGTCGATTTACGAATGGAATCGTGGCTTTGAGTGAGAGGCGCCGCGACGTCTCGGGTGCGATGAGTCCGGAGATCGAGACGGGGGTCCCGGTAATTAACGTGACGGTGGTGGTGGCGGTGGGGTCACAGTAATTAACATGTTGGTGGTGGTGTGCAACTCACAGTCGCTGCTGCGACAAGAAGAGCTGTGGAAACAGAAACGAGACCCCATCGGATCCGGTCATCATCGACAGGTGAGGCTGCGCGTACAGACAAAAGATCCTCCCCCCCCCTCCCACACACCCACAGCCTTGAAGAACGCAACTGTTGGGGCGAGTGCTGTTAGTAGAACGGCGCACGAAGGGGGTGGGTGGCCAACACCACGCCCGGCAGCCTTTGTCTCCCTAGCGGCAACATTTACACAGCGCACCGGGTAATCATTTGAGACCGCGTGGGCCTGGGAGAGGCCCGAGGCCGGTGTAAGTAAAATCCTCACTGGTGTTGGCCTTGGGCGAGAAGCGAACTCGGGTCCGCTGGGTTCGCAGTGCGTCGTAGCGCTAACCGCTACGACGCACTGCTCGCCACGATCACGAGAGAACACGCGCACGAAAATCCTCCCAGACTGAATGGTTCCGCACCGTGTTCATTTTCAGCCACATTTTTGCGGAGGACACCGTGGTCATATGAGTGTGCATTGATGATACCTGTAATGTATACAAATGGTTTAGAGATACCTTTTTTTTTATTTAACTCACTCCATTATACTCTGAGCCTGGAAAAAGGCTAATCTATGAAAGTCACATACTTTATATATATGATCATTATATGAACCTGTAACTTGTGATGATGAATGGATAAACGCAAGGTAAGGTTTCGCAGTCGACAACGGTTCATCTTCCTACGAGTCGACGCGCCCAGTGACCGCGTACAAGCTCATTGCTGCCAATTTAACGTGCAGTGCGCTTTACCATGGGTGTCTCAAAACAAAGATCACCCATTTAGCCTCGAACAGACGTTTGGGCAAGTGCTATTACCAACAATGGCTTATCCCCCCCCCCCCCCCCCCCATCTAATAATGGCGAGTTGATGGGGCTCAAGCTCGGTCACGGACGACTCAGATAAAGTTTAGCACTTAATTTGCCCAAAGCTCAAACGCTGCGGAAAAAAGAAATCGCTCTGACTCTCAAGCGCCGGTGTAGCGAAGCGGCCGCTTAAAGACGCATTCGGAAGCCGTCCTACGGTGTCCTCGTCCGCGAACCGCCTCCGAGCAGCGGCCACGACTGACCACTCCAGTCGGGACTGCCCTGCGAGGGCTTCCCGAACGGATCCTTTGGCTCAGCCGTTGCGTGACGTGACGTCGGATAGCGCCCCGGGGTTACCATTTTGAGGCGATGAAAAACATTTGCGCGTGCTTGTTTATTCGTTTGTTCAAAATCAGTGTCACCCACTGACACCTCTGCAGGGTGGGAAAGGACATTGGCTCATTGTAGCTCTGTGAGCAATGTGCTCGGTTTTCTTTCTCGTCTGATGGCAACTTTTGATAACAAAACGCTGAAGTTGTGCTCCCCCCCCCCCCCCCCCAGCTATACACCTCGATTGGAATAAGGAGGGCAAGGAGAGATTTGCTTAAAAAGACAATCAATAGCAATAACCACACTAATTAGCCCGAGAGCAACTTCAGAAACACCGGTCGTGACGGATGGTGCGTCTCGCATATAAGTACTTAGCCTTGATCTACTGAGAGCACTTGAGCAACAGCAACACAAAAAAAGAAGAATGAAAGCCAGAGAGCTCCTTTCTCTTGTCCTGTTCGCTGGGTATCTGCCTCGCCATCCCTCTCGCTCGCTCCGGGTCGCTCTAAAAGCTGCGGCTGTGTCGCGTGAAAGCGACCATTGAGCTGGCTTCGGCACCGCATTGTGCGCGTGGCCTGATTGAAGCCGTGTCGACTTACACGTGCGCCTTCTTGCACTTAGCTCACCACGCAGTTTCACACAAAGACAAAGATTGCCCAACCTCCTCCCCCCCCCCCCCCCCGGTATAGACATAGACACTGTTGGGGGTGGGTGGGGGCAAGTGATACAGTGAGGGAAAAAAGTATTTGATCCCCTGCTGATTTTGTACGTTTGCCCACTGACAAAGAAATGATCAGTCTATAATTTTAATGGTAGGTTTATTTGAACAGTGAGAGACAGAATAACAACAACAAAATCCAGAAAAACGCATGTCAAAATGTTATAAATTGATTTGCATTTTAATGAGGGAAATAAGTATTTGACCCCTCTGCAAAACATGACTTTGTACTTGGTGGCAAAACCCTTGTGGGCAATCACAGAGGTCAGACGTTTCTTGTAGTTGGCCACCAGGTTTGCACACATGTCAGGAGGGATTTTGTCCCACTCCTCTTTGCAGATCTTCTCCAAGTCATTAAGGTTTCGAGGCTGACGTTTGGCAACTCGAACCTTCAGCTCCCTCCACAGACTTTCTATGGGATTAAGGTCTGGAGACTGGCTAGGCCACTCCAGGACCTTAATGTGCTTCTTCTTGAGCCACTCCTTTGTTGCCTTGGCCGTGTGTTTTGGGTCATTGTCATGCTGGAAAACCCATCCACGACCCATTTTCAATGCCCTGGCTGAGGGAAGGAGGTTCTCACCCAAGATTTGACGGTACATGGCCCCGTCCATCGTCCCTTTGATGCGGTGAAGTTGTCCTGTCCCCTTAGCAGAAAAACACCCCAAAGCATAATGTTTCCACCTCCATGTTTGACGGTGGGGATGGTGTTCTTGGGGTCATAGGCAGCATTCCTCCTCCAAACACGGCGAGTTGAGTTGATGCCAAAGAGCTCCGTTTTGGTCTCATCTGACCACAACACTTTCACCCAGTTGTCCTCTGAATCATTCCGATGTTCATTGGCAAACTTCAGACCGGCATGTATATGTACTTTCTTGAGCAGGAGGATCTTGCAGGCGCTGCAGGATTTCAGTCCTTCACGGCGTAGTGTGTTACCAATTGTTTTCTCGGTGACTATGGTCCCAGCTGCCTTGAGATCATTGACAAGATCCTCCCGTGTAGTTCTGGGCTGATTCCTCACAGTTCTCATGATCATTGCAACTCCACGAGGTGAGATCTTGCATGAAGCCCCAGGCCGAGAAAGATTGACAGTTCTTTTGTGTTTCTTCCATTTGCGAATAATCACACCAACTGTTGTCACCTTCTCACCAAGCTGCTTGGCAAAGGTCTTGTAGCCCATTCCAGCCTTGTGTAGGTCTACAATCTTGTCCCTGACATCCTTGCAGAGCTCTTTGGTCTTGGCCATGGTGGAGAGTTTGGAATCTGATTGATTGCTTTTGTGGACAGGTGCCTTTTATACAGGTAACAAGCTGAGATTAGGAGCACTCCCTTTAAGAGTGTGCTCCTAATCTCAGCTCGTTACCTGTATAAAAGACACCTGGGAGCCAGAAATCTTTCTGATTGAGAGGGGGTCAAATACTTATTTCCATCATTAAAATGCAAATCAATTTATAACATTTTTGACATGCGTTTTTCTGGATTTTGTTGTTGTTATTCTGTCTCTCAATGTTCAAATAAATCTACCATTAAAATTATAGACTGATCATTTCTTTGTCAGTGGGCAAACGTACAAAATCAGCAGGGGATCAAATACTTTTTTTCCCTCACTGTATTTAGCGAGCGCATCTACGGTACGAAAGCCGCGTACGGCGCACGAGGGAAGGGTCGTTGTTGTTATTGTTGTTGTTGTTGCTGTTGGGGTGGTTGTTGACGTTAGCACCACGCCCCGGCCGCGGTTGTCTCCACGGCGATGATGTTTATGCACCAGTGCATCGAGGTACCCGTTTAAGGCTGAGTCGACCTAGGAGAGGCCCACGACCGGTTCACATATTCGTCGCGAGCGTTGGCCGTGAGCGGCGTATTCCAACTCGGGAGCGCGGGGTCGCAGCGCGCCAACCTGCTTCGTGTGCATGCCCATCTTGACCGTAGCTGTCTTTCCTCTGAAGGGCCATTGCTCGAAACGTCAGTCTACCCTATATATAATACAATCCGGGAGTGTGATGGCGCGGCGGTTAGCGGTCCTGTTGCTATGAGCCCGGGTTGCCGAGTTCGATTCCCGGCCACGGCTAACATCGGTGGCGAGCGATGTCTGAACTGGCGAACTCCACCTCCCACCCCGTTTTACTGACCCGCACTGGCCATCGTGCTGAAGTATGGTCAAACAACGTCATGATCGATACGGCATGGGGAAGCCTTCAACCAGTCGTTGATTGACAAAGACCCTTACATTATTACTGCGGCATCGTAAAGTGCGCTGCACCAGAGTCCACATTGTTCAGCGCAACTAATCATCCGCGTGTCCCAAATCAGCTCAAGCCTCCCGTAAATCACGTGACACGCGTGTGGCCACCCCCACTCTGAAACCCCTCCCCCTCTCGCCCCGTCACCGCCCACTCTGACAACAGACGACGCTGCTCCTCCGCGCAGCAACGCCGAGACTCTCATGTGGCCTCTTACTCACCGATCCTCGCCTCCTCCTCAGCTCTCTTCATCTCTCCTGACCCTAAGCCCCCGTTTCTTTGTTCCCTTTCAACCCCTTCGCTCTTGCTTCTCATTCTTTCTCCTCTCTCTTCCCTTTCCCGTTCTCTTCCACCCCCCCCCCCCCCCCAATGCTTAACATCCTTGACTCGACTCTCCTGCCCGTGTTGTGTCACGGACACAACGTTGCTCGTGTGTAATAAGAGGGCGCTGTTGATGACGATTATTATTAGAAGCGTAATGAGGACGACCTTTTGATCTCACACGCTACTTGACTATAAAGTCAATCTCCCTGTTTTGAAGGGCAATTGCCCGAAACGTCAGCTTGCCCAATGTGTGCACGTTATGAGGCAGTATGGATGTAGGTGATGGATTTATTTGTTGTTGAAAAGAGAAGAAGCAGAATAACCGTCAGTGTCACCGCCCTCTGTGTCACCACTCTCAGTGTCACCGCCCTCAGTGTCACCACTCTCAGTGTCACCACTCTCAGTGTCACCACTCTCAGTGTCACCGCTCTCAGTGTCACCGCCCTCAGTGTCACCACTCTCAGTGTCACCACTCTCAGTGTCACCACCCTCTGTGTCACCACTCTCAGTGTCACCGCCCTAAGTGTCACCACTCTCAGTGTCACCACTCTCAGTGTCACCGCCCTCTGTGTCACCACTCTCTGTGTCACCACTCTCAGTGTCACCACTCTCAGTGCCACCGC